CTTTCCTTCTCTCTTTTTTTTTCTTTTACTTACGGGTCACTGTCAGTGTGGCACTGACTTGGTCATTGCCACAGACAAACGTGTATTCTGCTGAGTCCTCTGTGCTGGTGTTCATGATGATCAGCTGATGGAGTTTTCCTTGCACAACTATCTTGAACTTGTCACTCATTTCGATCTCCACTCCATTCTTCAGCCACGTGGAAGGGACATTGAAGTGGGACACCTCGCACTCAAAGGAGGCAGTTTTGGTCTCAGGGACCTCGATATTTTTCATGGTCTTTGTAATATGTAATGCTTGGGAAAATCAGAGAGCACTTTGGTTAAGAGGTTTATTTAAAAACCAGATGAAGCAACACAAACCAATGACTACCTGGGGATCCCCTCCAGGGAAGTGTCAGAGGGGCTTCCCAATACTTACTCTCCACAAAGAGCTTTGCCTTGCATTCCAGCTGCCCCACCACTGCTGTATACTCCCCAGCATCCGAGGGGGCGATATTCTGCAGCATCAGCTTGTGGACCTTCCTTTCTGAGACCAGTCTGTGTTTCTCACTTGGCTTAATCTCCACATTCTTATGGAACCATTTTACAGGAACTGTGTCATGGGAAACACTAACTTCAAAAGCAACGGTGGCATTTTCCAAGGCAGTCACATCCTTTGGCTTTTTAATGATCTTGACAGCTAAGAAGAAAGTTGGAGCAATTCAATGAGATGGTTAACTAAGACGGTAACCACAGGTTGGCTACTTGTGAAATGTTTGTAAGTCAAAACTTACTTTCAACATGTAGTCTGGCACTGGCTCCTAGCTTTCCAAGTCTGAAGCCATAAACAGACTCATCGACGATGGCGCAGTTTTTAATTCTCAGAGAGTAAATTGCCCCTTTGACTGAGATATCATACTTGTCGTTGGATTGGAGCACAACCCCATTTTTAATCCACTGAACACCTTTGACATTAGGGTGTGTAAGCTCGACAGTGAAAACAGCATCTTGCGTTTCTGTCACTGTGAGGTTCTTCAGAGTCTTCTTGATTTTGACAGCTGAAGACAGATTTATGATTCGTTTAGAAACTAATATGGTGTCATCAAGGAAAAGAAGTCCTAAATAGGATCAGTTTTGCAAGTGCCCGCCATCTTGCAAAATATGGGGTAGCCAACATTTTGCATTTATTTAGCATCTCTAATTTAAAAGGCACCTGATATTATTTAGGGAAACTTGAGATCCAGTTGGATATGTGCATTCTACACTTGAATGTTTTTTCTAATGTTTTATCAGATGGGATAAAATTTGCATAGCCATATACTAGTAGCATAATAGACTGATTGGAGACGGGTAAAAGAGAAATGGAGAATCAGAATGTCTGATTTTGCTGTTCACAGAGCTTTAACTTAGGAAATGACTTTGTCATATAAATACATTTGATAACTAATTTTGTACCTTATGTTATATGGCTCAGAAAAGAAAGTTTAGAGAATTTGTAATGATTTTATAAAATGAGAACTTATAGTCTCTAAAATGGCCAGACCATTTGATGTTCAAAATGATAATGGCCAAGAAAGTAATATGATTTAAAAAGAACAAATCTTATATCACTGACCTTCAACTTTGAGTTTGGCAGATGTTTTAGAGGTGGCCACTTTGTAGGTGTATTCTCCCACGTCATCTAATTTGGTGGCGGCAATGATAAGTCTCCTTTTGCGGCCATCAGATTCGCTTTTGATGATGTTACTAAGGGGCAGGTGTTTGCCATCCCTCAGCCATTCGCCTTCTGAATCTGGGTTGGCAACTTCACATTCAAACACGGCTTCCTGGGATTCAGCCACAGTCTGATCTGTGAGTGGCTTGGAGATGGCCCCACCTTTGGAACAAGAGACACACAGTGTGAGTCCTTCATTCACATGATAAAAAAACTTTACACCATTAAATATAAAATATCAAATTAAGAACATACATGACTTTAAACATCATGACATGTCTAATAAGATTATTATTACCCATATTGAGAAGATGCCACAAAAATCCCTTTTTCTAGGCATGCATGACTGACAACCAGGGAAAATACTGGAATCAGGAAAGTTTTTGTTGGAAAAAGGCAACTGTTGCTTTTTTTGTTTTTTTCTTGTTGAGACAGAGTCCCACCCTATGCTCCTGAGCAGAGTGCAGTGGCTTGGTAGCTCACTGCAACCTCAGACTCCAGCTGTGGGTATCCCGCTGCCTCAGCCTCTGGAAGCCACTTGTCAGGGCGCTCGGCTGGGTTTTTCCATTTTTTTCATGAGTTGGGGTCTCATTCTTGCTCAGGCGAGTCTCGAACTCCTGAGCTCAAGCAATTCTCCCTCCTCAGCCTCCCACAGTGCTGGGATTACAGATGTGAGCCACTGCACCCGGCAAAGCAACTGTTAATATGGAATTCTACTTGGTCCTTTAAGGATTGCTTCCTGGGAATATGTTTGACATTTCATCGGAAAAAATTTGCTAAGCAGTACAATGTCCAAGTCACCAATGTCTATATAAGATAGAGACACCTGTACAGTAAATATCAGTTCTGACAATCTCATCTGTCTGGTGCCACTGCCCCCATTGTCTCTACTCCTGTCATCCTCAGTCAGAAATAACTGCTGCTTTACCAAGTAGGCTGCTTATGTATCTGTCCATCTCTAAAGAATTCTTGTGAATTCCTCATAAAAAAATATCATGCCTTATTTGTTTTTGTGTCTGGCCTCTGCTGGGTGAAATCACAGAAACTCATAGTTTGTTCTTTCACACATTTTTAAAACATGTAACTTATCTTGCATGTATCAAAGAATGTAAAATTTTGTTTTAGAAGGTTTTTCATGGTTAATTCTCTGAGGAAATCTTACAATGTAATAAAATATAAATCATGAAACTTTCACACCAAAGAAGACACACTGTTATAATGTGACTTGCTTATATACCACATGGCCTGGACAGCACAATGCAATCTGAATGTGGAATCTCAACTCCTCAATATTTAAATTGTAACGAACCAAAGAAATTAATGATAACTTCTAGTTTTTTGTTGAAAGCTGGTTTACGCTTCTGATTCTTCATTGTAAAGCTAAGCATTTCTGCCAAATGAAACTATTTCTACTTTATGTCATAAGAGGCACACTGCTACAGTGAGTTGCAGTTAAACCATATTCACAGGGTTTGTATTTCATAAAAACATATGTAAGAAATAAAGCAAATAAAGGTTAAAGAAATGAGTGCTTAGAAAAAGAACTCTTCAGAGGAAGAAAGTTTGAATGAAGCTCAATTCAGCAAACACTAATTGGTGACCAATCACGTGCAGTATATTAGAGGATATGAAGAAGAAAAGCAACCGCGGATTTGGGGAATTGACACTGTGGTGCGGAAGGAGGAAATGGGGAATAGGACAAAGATAGAAGAGCAGTGAAAGAGGCGCACATGAACTGATCCTGGGGTTGGAGGAGGATGAGGTCTTACACCAATGAGGAAGGTCCAGGAAGGCTTCCTGGAGGAGGTGGCATTTGAGGTAGGTCTGGAAGAGCATTTGTAATTTAGTCTGGTGGGGACAGTGTTGAGGGTACTAGTGGCTCAGTGAGCAGCTTAAGACAGAGGCATGGAAATGGAATGCTGCAGGGAATTTGTGGAGAAATGGGCCATTATTTTTTAAATTAAAACAATCACCCCTGATAATTTACACAATAAAGGCACCAACCTGCCACATTAAGTTTTCCAGATGTCATGTTTTCTCCAGCATAAAATGTATATTTCCCTTCATCATCCTTCATCATATTTAGCACTGTCAGTTTGTATATTTTCCCATGAGCTTCAATTTTATATTTAGAACTGGGTTTGATCTCTTTATCCTTAAAATTCCACAAGACATCAATTCCTGAGTGGGACAGCTCAACCTCCAGGACCACATTTTGTGTTTCTGTACAGGTAAGGTCATGAAGACCTCTGATGATTTTAATTTCTGGGGGAAAAATAAAAACAATCACTTGGTTATTATTACACCAGGAAGCGGAATGCTGACAAATCATTGGTCAAATGGAATAGTTCTCACTTTCTACAGAGAGATTACAGCTGGTTTCCACTCTGCCAACCATGAGCTTGTAAGGCCCCTCGTCTGACGCGTGAGTCCGGTTTATCACTAGTCGCTGCTTTGTGCCTTTGACAATGGCCTGCACGCGATCATCAGGCTTGATCTGCTCATCATCTAAGTACCATTTAACGGAAGTCACATCCGGGACTGAGACCTTACATTCGAGCACAGCCTTGGTACCCTCAAGCACGTTGACATCTTTTAGAGGTGTTACCACATCAACACCTGCAAAACCACACACACAGATAAAGGATTATACACATGGCTTTGGTTTCCAGCGTCTGCTCATTACAGAGCTTTACCTCACTGGATGATGTAAATGTATATCTATCTAAATAACACTCACTGTAGACGGAGACGCGGCCGCTGGTGGAGAGCCCAAGGGCTGGAATGGTGAAGGAGTAGTTTCCGGCATCTTCCTTAGTCATGTCTTCAATGAGCAGCATGTGAGACTGTTTGTCTATCACAACGTGAACCCTGTCGCTGGGCTGCACCTCCTGCCCATCCTTCATCCAGACGCCTTCCACATTTTCTAAGGAGACTTTAACTTCAAGCTGAACAATGTCACCCTCGCAGACTTTCTGATCACTAAGTCCTTGTAGGATGGCAATGGGGCGGGCTGTGAAATATGGGACAAGAAGAATGTTATGGTCATATTTAGCACTAAGTCATAATGATGCTCCCCACTGCCTGACAGGAGTGGGATACTCACGCTTCATCTTTAGTTTACAGGCTGTCTTTTTCCCATCAATGACAAAGGTGTATTCTCCCTGGTCTTCTTTGGTTACATCCTTGACTGTGAGGTTCTGACGTCCACGGCGAGATGTAATTGTGTATTTCCCATTGGATTTAAGCTCCACGCCATTATGATACCATTTGCCTTCTATATTTTCTGGGGTTACGATACACTCTAACTCTCCTGAGAATGATTCTGGAACTTCTATGTCCTGAAGTTCTTTCACAAACTCAACAACTGCACCTGAAGTATAAGAGAAAGGGAAATCAGTTCTCTTTCTGGAGAGCTATGCATCTAGACTTACGATAGCGACAGTGCCTTCTATATCTCTTTACTCTGCCATACTATCAGGAATATTTTCTGTGTCTACCTGCTGATGAGCTCAGAAATAAATTTTCAATAAAAAGGAGTTATTTTAATTTTTAAATTATTTTCGAATGCTGAGAATTATATTTCAATAAAAACATTTTAAAATGGAGACATCAAAATAATATGACCTAAAAAATTCAAATCATCAAATTGTCAATATTCTTAATGAGGAACATAAATTCATGATTACTCATATCCAATTCCCAAATAATTGTTTTTAAGATGGAAAAATTGTATAGCTAATTTTGTCACATACTAAGGGTGACTTTAAACCTTAAGGAAACCTTGAAATCATCATTTTACTACCTTCCACAGTAAGTTTTGCTGTTGTTTTGACGTCTTCATCTTCCACAAGTGCACAGCTGTAGTCTTCAGCATCAGATGCGTCAATGGTCAGTATGGAGAGGAAGTGGACCTTCCTGTCAGAGTGCATCTTGTATTTATCTCCTGCATGAATTTCCATACCATCTTTATACCATTTCACTTTGACAAATGGCTCTGAAGTTTCGCATTCAAAGGTTGCCATGGTGTCTTTTTCCTTAGCAACAACATCTTGTAAGTCCTGTGTGAAAGTGATCAATTGCTTGGCTACAAGAAAAGTTGAGGGGAGAGAAGAACATTATATTAAATTAAATTTACAATTTGAGCAATGGAAAAAGAAAAAGAAATATGCTCGTGTATATTCATGGATGCAGAGACAGGTCCATCAGATGAAAAACATTCAAATTACCTTGGACAAGTAAGAATGCATGACTGGAGGTTTCCCCAGCTATGTTGATGGCTTTGACCATAATGCTGGCAGAGTCCTCGGCAGTCACATCTCTTATGACCAGTTCACAAACATTGTCCTCAGGCCAGTACCAGTAGATGCGGTCGGACCGTTCAATCTTCACCCCATTTTTGTACCATTCACATTCAGGGTCTGGCTTCCCCACAACTCTGACCCGGAAGTGTGCATCAGATCCTTGACCCACTGTTTGGCTTTGGATTTTTTCAAAGATTTTGGGGGCCTCCATACTAGGACTTAGTTCAATTTTATCAGGTTTAAAAGTTGGAATAGTGATTTTGCCTTCTTCCATAAGGGCTTTCTTCTCCTCTTCGGTTAACTCCTTGGTCCAGTGGAGAAGTTCATCTTTCGTCTTCTTTAGGAGCTCCTCATAGGAGTCATCCTTCTTACGAGACTTGAGCTCCACAGCAGTGATGGCTTCATAATATCCCTCCTCTGTTCTGCGCTTGAACTTACTACGCAGCTCTTCCGACTCTTCAGACACTTTTTCATGGGTAATTCTTTCAGCCCTTTTCAACTTGACAACTTCTTTTTCTGTGGTATCAACAGGCCTATCCACCTTCTGCACTTCAAACTGAAGTTTTCCTGGTTCGTGTACATGAAATTCAGGCTTTGGTTCAGGAGCTCGCCTAAGGACAGACCTAAAGTCTTCCCTCTGTTGGATCTCGAGTTTCACTTTATGTTCTATCACACCTTCAGGATTTTCTGCGGTGACCTTCACTTCACCTGTGTCGTAGGATTTGCAATCCACGATGTCCAGGTAATGAATGCCATCGTAGCGAACTCTGAACCTTTTGCTTTTACGGATGAGCTGTCCATTGAGGTACCAGTTGACTTTGGGCTGAGGGTAGCCTGTGACTCGGCAGCGGAACCTAGCGGTCTCCCCTTCAAGGACTCTTACTGGCTCTGGGAATAAGACGATGTCCGGCTTCTGCTTTTCTTTCTGATCCACGGTTACACCAGTAAGTGCACCTTCGTGAGCCATTCTCTCTAACTCTTCAATTCTCTGTAAGCCTTTTCTCCCCTCAGGCAACTGTGATTCTTCCACAAGGCTTTTCTCATCTTTCACAATAAGGGTAGCAGAAGTGTGATCTGTTCCGTATTTGTTCGTGGCTCTGCAGGTAATGATACCACTGTCTCTAGAATATGCCACTGCATAGTCAAGGCTGCAGTACCCGAACTCATTGATCATGCGGAGCCTGTTGGCTGCTTCGAGTGGCTTCCCATCGTGGAGCCATTCCACCACCATCGTTGGGTCACCAATCGGTGTAAGCCTGCATTCAAAGTGGGCAGGCCCAAAGCGTTTGAGTCTTAAGGAAGTGAGTTTTTTCTTGAAAAATGGTTTCTGTTGTTTCTCTTTGTCATAGAGGTCACCCTCTTCCCATTGTTCTTGACCATATCGCAAGTGGAGGGGCTCCAGTTCTGGGGCTGCGATCTCCTTTGCTCTGTATGTTCCTCGAGGGATGATTAATCTTCTCTCTGGTTCAGGCTCTGCAAACTCAACTTCAACATTGACTTTACATCTTGTGGTGTCTCGGCCAGCCTTGTTAATAGCAGTTGCAGTATACCAGGCGGAGTCTTGGCTGACAGTGGATTCGATTTTAAGGGCAGCTTCTCCCTTGGTTCCTTCAATTCTATAAAAAAGAGAGAAATAAATCATCAACATAGAAACAGTATTGTTTCCATGGCTATTTGATTTGTGTAAGGAGCTTATTTTCATTATTTCTAAACACACTTACCTGATTTTGGGATATTTATGAGGTACAATGATGTCGCTATTTTTCAACCATACGATGTCAGGGTTGGGGTTGCCTGTAGCTCTGACTTTCATTTCAAGTCGGGAACCTTCCTTTATGTTGACATTTTTCAGTTTTTCCACAAACATGGGTTTTATCTGATGTTCCACAGCTAAAAGAAAATGGTCATAATTTATAGTAAATAGGGCTAAAATACCTGCTTATAATCTAAATGATAAAGTAATTTCTTTATTTTCATTTTATTTTACCTTCCACAGTTAAAAGCATTGAAATTGAAGATCTGCCTGCCCTGTTTTGGGCAACCACAGTCCATTCCCCAGAATCACTGGGTGTTGCTGGGACGATGATTAGTGACTGAGTACCATCTTCTTTAATGACCACTTTATGAGTATAGTCATTGACAATTTGCTGGCCTGTCAAAAAGTAAGTAATAAAACCACTTTTAGAATAGTTTTTTAAAATTGCTAGACACACAAAAACGCTTGTTTTGGTGTTTAATGATTCATGCACAAAAACTTGTCCTTACCATCATGAAACCAGAGTGTCTCTGGCATGGGTCTACCCACGACCTTTAAGTCAAATCTGGCAGTCTGCCCTTCTAAACATTTGAAAGAAGTGGGTTTTAGCACAAAGACTGGCTTATATAGTCTCTCAAGTTGTGACTCATCTGTTTCCTCCAGCCTACGTCCAGGGGACATCCGTGCAGGGGACATCCTTGCAGGGGACATTGCAGGGGACATTCGTGCAGGGGACATTCTTGCTGGGGACATGCGTATAGGAGACCTGCTCACTGAGCGTGGAGAGATAGATCTAAAATACAAAGGCAAACGGAATATTTTCAAGAGGCATAAAAAATTCAGCAAAACAAATTTCATTCTATGTTATTTATTAATGTTATTTTAGAATTTAATTTGTGTGTACTAAAAAGCACCTCAGTCTCATTAGGATCCAAATCAGAATGTATTATTATTGCCTCCAACACTATGTTTTTCTTAATATTTTCAATCTTGGTCAGTAGGCATTCAGGCACTCAGGTACTCAGACTCAAAGTCTTGGGAAAATTCTTAATAGTGTCTTTTCCTTACCATCTGGATTTATTTATTCATCACATCTTTTTGATTCAACTACCAAAACATCTTAATAAATAATTGGTTTATTATAAATAAATAAACCAATGAATAAATTTATGAAAAAGGAAACATTTACTTGTTTATCTGTAGAGGAGGAAAAATGTAGGAATTTATATTTGGAAACAAAACAAAATCCTATCTATATTTTGCAGCCAGATTGGCCTGGATTTTGAAGGCTGGCACCACCACTTAAAGTTCAGGACTGCCATATAACTTTATGTATGTAAAAATCAAGCACCAAAGAAATGGAAGCTATTGTTATATTAGCTATTTCACTAGGAAAATAAATAAATAGTATGATACACAAATGAAAATTCTTTGCTCATCTTACATAAGGGAAAGAAATAAAAACTCTTGGCAATCATTGGTGCTACCAATGGTAAATCTCTGTGCTACCTTAGCCTTTAAATTTTTTAAAAAAATAGTACCAATTTGCCATGGGCATAGTTAGTCTTTTAAAGTAATTTAAATACTAAACACTGTGAATTATTACAAGTTTTACCTGATTCTGCTCACTGGCTCTGGTGTGGGTATGTAAGTTGGAGCACTAAATGGTGCGGCAGGCTCCACATACAGCTTCCCAGAGCAAATTGCATTTCCTTTCATGTTGCTGGCAAATGCCGTATAGATTCCTTCATCTTCTGGAAGAACAACAGGTATGCGCAGACTAGCTCTGCCATCCTGTAGAAAGTCCATTTGGTATCTTTCTCCATGTTTGATGCGCTTGCCATCTTTGTACCATGCAATCTGCAAAGAATATCGGCCATATGTGAATGCATGTTACGTAAAATAGTTACATTGTAACCTATTTATATCTTTATCGTGCAAAGAGGTGTGATAAATGTGAATATTTTACCTTGGGTAATGGATATCCAGACATCTTGCAATGAAAAGTGACACTCATCCCCTCGAGAATTCTGTAATTCTTGATTCTTAATTCAAATGCTGATTCAACAGCTTCGGATTCGGAAACGTCAACTGCCATCTTCTCTTCTCCATCTTCTTCAAGAAGTTCTTCTAATGTAGTCTTTATTATTCTATATTCAATTTCCTTAATAAGCCTCTCTTCAAAGGAAGAAATATGGAATTCCTATGCAATAAAAAGAGAGGATGATTTTTTAAAAAGCCATAACCTCACTGGTGGAAATTCTTTAAGGATATGTATTAATTTTGGAGCTAAGGATTATTGATGTTTTTAACTGGGAGTAGAATGTGGAAGGCTTTTTTGTTCTTTTTTGCTTTTAATCTGCACTACAGTCATCCTGTCATTTGATGCTGGGGCATCTTGGGTAAATGGTATTTCAAGAGCATAGGTTACATTTGGTATATTTATCAAACAGATGAAGGAAATCTTGGCATCAATGAACTTTGCTGTGCTAATATTTGTCTTTTTCTAAATATATATATGTATATATATAATCTCCACTTCTAAAGTCATATTTTGTTACATACTTATTTCTAAAGTCACAAGTTCAACATGCAATGAAGATTAAGGAAACTTGTCGGCAGTGAACTTGGGCCAACTAATAGTTGTCTATCCCATTATTTGAAAATGAAAACACCAAACACAAAAAGGGGCATTGTGGGAGGAAAGTATAATTTATGAAATGGTTTAGTTGGTCATCATTGTTATACACACCTGGTCTTCTACAAAAGTTCTGACCACTACAGTGTCTTTGGCCATCTTCTTTCTAATTAAGGCCTGTTCTTTTTCATACTCTTTTTCATAGTCAGAATATCCAAAACCAGGTGCTATTTCTCCAACTTTGGGTTCTTCAACAAATGCAGTCACTTGCGTCTGATAAAGCATTTCTTGCTGAGACTTCATCAGTGACTCATATTCAGCTAGGAGTTAAGAATATATGTTAATTTTTAATTTTCTTGTTAAAAAGTATTCACATCACCATTCATTCAGGCCTTATACTGGTTTTGATAACCAAAAAGCAAGATTTTCCAAATTTCTTCTATCAAAGTGCTCGATAAATATTTACTGGATTGAATTTCAAAAGCAAACATACACGGAGACGCCAAACCAGTGACTACTATTGTAGAAAGAATTTTATATTAGCAATCCATCTTTGGAATCTACCCTAGAAGTCTTCCTAATTTGCTGTGTGGCTTTTAGCAATTCCTTTACTTTCCTGAGCCTTGAATGCTTTATCTGTGAGGTTGAGATAATATTGTAATTTCCTTTAAGGGATGTTGTGTAGATCAAATGAGATGAAGTATAGAAGTGTTTAAATGTGAAGAGTTTATACTATTACATCTTTTCTCAAGTTATAAACACTAAAAATTATTATTCCTAGCTTTTTAAAAAAATACCAGAAGCTCTAGCAGCATTAAGCCTGGTAACAGATTGGTGTGTGCACAACACATCACAGGGGAGAACTACTGCCCCCTTGAGGCAAGGCATGGATTTGCCATTGTCCTCATTGTTCTCACTTATGTTACTTGCCTGGACCTGGAAGGCAACCAGACTTAGAATCCCTACACTTTCCTGGGCATGGCATGCTGAGAAAAAAATGCACCAAATAGAAACTATTGCTAGAACCTCAGAAGTTTAGCGCCAGCGTGGCTTTTGTGGCCGTGTGGTCTGAAACATTTTCTATACTGTCAAGACCAAGAGAGGGAGGTGTACTAGGATGCAGCATCCAGTCCTTCAGCAATCACATGGCACAGCAGGTCTCTGCATTTCAGTCCCTAATCACGCTCACAGGAACTACACAGTTGCCCTTACCTTCTTGAAGCAAGGAAGCTGATGCAGAAATTTCTCCATGCTTGTTACGAATAACAATAGTGTATTCTCCAGCATCATCGGCAAAAGTCATAGAAATCACCAGTTTGCATTCACCGGTTTGTTTGTTGTAACTCACTTTGTATCTATATGGCAATAAACAAATAGAGAAATTGGTCATCAACAACCTTATGTGAATAAAAGAAATTGACTTATTTGTGAATGAATCTGTGATGTAAAATCCAATGATCCTAAACAAGTAACTAAACTTCACCTTAGATTGTAAGATTACGGAGAATGAGAAAAATTCATAGACATGACAATTCAGGTCAAATAGTTTTAAACATATTCATTTTGAAGAATATGCATCTTTTTTAAAATAAACAATATTCCAGGCATGGTGGCTCATGCCTGTAATCCTAGTAATCTTGAAAGCCAAGGTGGATGGATTTCTTGAGCTCAAGAGTTCAAGACCAACCTGAGCAAGAGTGAGCCCCTACCGCTACTAAAAATAGAAAAACTAGCCAGGAGTTGTGGCAGGTACCTGGGGTCCCAGCTACTCAAAAGGCTGAGGTTAGAGGGTCTCTTGAGCCCAAGAGTCTGAGGTTGCTGTGAGCTATGATGCCACAGCACTCCACTCAGGGTGATAGAGATTCTATCTCAAAAATAAATTAATACAAATACAAATAAAAAATAAATAATAGACTACACTACTGGTAGAATTAGACATAAACATAAGTGGCTTCAGTGGACATCTTACCATGTCATTAAACAATAGGTATTTTCTCTTTGTTCATTGTTTTCTTTGTTATTTCATTTGAGGATCACATGAATAATCAGAACAATAAATTCTCATAAATATCTCTGTTTAACTCTCTGGTATACTACATTGATTATTATTGAGATAGAACACCTACACTTTTTTAGATTATCAGGTCACCTTTTTTGTCTTAAATTGCAGAAAATTCAGAGTTAAATTTAATATTCACTTGCAGAAAATTTATTAAAGGATTTCTTAGAGGATTTAATAGATTTAAAATTTATTAGAGGATTATAGATTTCCATGTATATCTAGCTTTCTTCTTCATAATATGATGCTTATTCTTATCTTTAAGGGATTTAGTTATGACATGTTTTTATTGAAAGTTGTCTGACATCCTTCCTGGAAGTATATGTGTGTGTTTGTGTAAAAATCCACAATATTTTCTCTACTAGCTTTATCAATAAATTAAACTAGAATGTTAAGAAATATGTCTTCCATCCACTTTTGTCATATATCTTTATTTCTTAGTAAGTCTTTGCACAAGGATGTGAAAATACTTCAAAACAAACGAAGAAGGGTCCACAATAAGAGAAGTTATATTCAGGGCTAGTGGCACAAGTAAATTCCACTCTAGGCTTCATACATAAATCACACAGGTCATGGAGAACTCTTATCACTCAGTCATCAAAATACCTGTATCCAGTGGTTAGAGGAACACCAGATTTTTTCCAGTAGACATGGGGCCTTGGGTTGCCGCCAACCTGGCATACGAACGCCACGCTCCCACCTTCCACCAGCTTCTGGACCACTGGTTTTGTAATGAAGAAGGGTGCAGTAGGTTCTCCTGGCCCTGCTTGTTCTTCTGTGATGCTAGTGTCAGTCATTACCACATCTCTTGATTCGACAAAGCTGGAAAGAGAATTCCTTTCATATTAGCTTCTGGGCCACAATTTGCCAATACCAACGGGACTGAAAATCATAATAGTACTAGAATATCGGCTGATCAGCAAAAAATGTTTTACCGTTTCTCTTCTGTGGTATATTTCTCAGCCACAGTTGTTTCCTTTTCAAATTCTTCTGACACTAAAAAACAAAACAAAGCAAAAAAACCCAACAGTTTTTCATTGAAGTGAAGCATTTCATTTCGTGACCTCTGCTCAGCACTGGCAGTTAAACTGTCCCCCAAATCTACACCCCTGTTCCAAAAGGGGATGCTCTTACAAGGTGTGCAGGTACAGTATTGTGGAAAAGAGTGTCAGCTGAGACAATGACTCGTGCATTGGGGACTTGGGAGGGTGGCCACTAACCCTGGACAGCTAGATAGCAGGACGTGCTGACGGTTCCAGCCTCGTTCACAGCAGTGCAAGTGAATCGCCCGCTGTCTTCTGCGAAGGCTTCGCGAATTATCAGACGAGCGATTCCACTCTGGAAGGTTATCTGGAAGTCAATGGAACTTTCGATTTGGTAGTCTTCCCTGTACCATGTCACTGTTGGGGATGGGTATCCAGAGATGTGGCACTCTAAGGTGACAGATTCACCTTCTATGACAGTCACATTTTTTAAGCCCTGAAGAGAGGAGAACAAGGAAATAAGTGTGCATACTCATTAATCTTCCCCGTGTTTTACAACAATATGGGGCTTAAATTTGTATATTTCAATTGCCACAAAATGGCCTTTCAGTCAGGACTCCAGAAATATTTGTAAAGAGACTCCCTTTGAAATTGGAATATTCTCAATTAGAAATTAATCCAAGACATTTCCAGGTCTTTAAGGTGGAAATGCATTAAAACCATATGATAAGAAAACTCTGTCCCTCTGTTATTCTCATATGGTCAAATCCTAATGAAGCTGCAAGGTTCAGCAGCAAACGCCATCTATTCAACAAAACTTTTCCATGATATCGGCAATTGGAACGACTCTATCCTCTCCACAGAGTCTCCTTCCATGGTAGTGCTTCTCACCTTCTATATTTTATTACGCACACTTATGTGCATTTTTCTCTGATGGCAAGGAAACCATTTCAGACAAAGCCGGATTTGTAAATATCTCTCTAGTTCCTGCAATCATACCTTACAAATATCAGAAGCTCATTAAATTGCTCGAATACATGAATGATGTTTTACCACATCAAATTACCCTTGCCAAATAATGGGTCGTCTTAAAATCAGCATTTGTAAACTTGCTAATGCCATTTTCCACCTTGTGTGAGAAACGAATCTTTGCAAATATGAATTAACATGACTTGACCAGATATGAACTGGGCCCCACACAATCGACTTCTTCACTCACCGAGACCAAAGTTGGTGGAGTCACAGGAACTTCAACAGGTGCGGGCACTCTTGCTGTTTCTGTTACCTATGATTTTTACAAAGGATGTTACAAAATAGCCATGAAATTAGGGGAAAATCTCATGCTTAGCACAGGAGGAATGACAAAAAAAAAAATTGAGAAAAAGACCACTGACCCAAATCATGCTTCATAAAATTAAGTGTGAACACAGTAAAGGAGAAAGGAAGATTCCAGACGGGCTATTTCTGCAGGACAAACTGGCCGAGCCCCTGGCCCTGCTCCATGCTAGTGGGTCGGGAAACACATTCACAGTGACCAACCTTGGCTGCACGCCCGTGTAGGACTTCGAGGTGCTCTTCACGGACGGTGGTGCCAGTGATGCTCACCCCTACTTCCTTTTTCACTTCAATGCCAGCCTGACTCTTATAAGTATCTGGTGGGCCAGTGAAGGGGAACTGTGGCGACGGGGTGGGCTCTGCCCTTACTCTGGCCTCAGTGGGCTTCACGGTAGGAGCCTTCACCGATTTGGTGATCTTCTGAGCAGAAGATGTGGCTGACAACTCTTTTTGCAATGTAGCAATAGCACTACCGGCTATTGACGCCTATATAGACAGGGAGTCAGAAAATAAAGTCACTTAACTGTCCCACCAAGTCATCCCTCAGGAGTGCTTTGCCCCTAAAATTTCTGAACTGGATCTATAGGGTCCATTTTCTATCTCTTATTATCACCCTTCCAGTTAATGAAAAGTCAGAGATAAGCCAATTCTACAACTCCTATCATTCCTGTTAATTTGTAAAATATATTTTTAAATGTCTTTTTAAAAGAGTTGTGTTAACAATGACGTTTTTGGCAGCTTTTATCCTGAAAGAACAGGATCGTCTAAAGTTTAGTCATGGTTTTTTACGTTACCATTCTGATGAATGCTGCTGTTGTAAATACCACAGTGCGAAGTTAAAAAATCAGAAATGATTAAAAGAGTTGGTAAATTCCTAAGAACTATGTTCAAAAAGCCTGCGTGAAAGGTAAAAGTGGAAACGTTCAGAAAAGTATTTTAAAGGTTTTCTTATTGTTTTTCTTCAGTTGCTATCTATGGTTATTTTGTTTCAATAGTAATTTGGGACCATCCACATATAAGAATTCTATGTATCCTAAAATTCTTTGAAGGTATAGAAGTTTGGATTTTATTTTTTGGCTGCATAAGTAACAATAGTGGCTAAGATTGAGTATTTTTGAATATTTTGTGCTGTCTGCTTGCTAAGGGTTTTACATGTACTCTACATGTATTTTTACTTTCCCCTGACAGCAGAGCTCGTAAGTGCCAGAGATAGGCACTAATCCAGGTCTGTTTGATTCTACAATCCAATCGACGCACCACACAATGCCACCTCTGCATCTTGCTATATTGCATATGTGAATATATGATTTCTCAACATCTGTTTTCCTTAGTGAAACACATTCACAGTTAAGTCACCCTGAAATGTCTCACAGCATAAAGAAAACTGCAGAATCATTAGAACCATAGGAGTCAAAACAGATGAGTTTGAGCTCTCTCTGATATGGAAATACAGAGAAGCTTGTATGGACTTATGTCTCTGTAGCTGCGACCCTGGGCTCACCCTGCTGGGCAAGTTTCAGAGACCAAAGATCAGGGCTGTTGGAATCCACCATGAATGTAAACACACATCACCCACAGAGGCCCACACTGGCTTACACCAGAGCTACTCTACATCAGCTTAGATACTTCTTTCCTTCGAGTTAGACCTTTCTTTATCATGCTCTTTAATTTCTTACCTCGTATCCATGTTCCGTCTTAGGAACAGAAATTTTTGAAACGGTAAAGTGAGGGCTTGCGGTGCGGGGGCGTTTATCCACATGGACTAATCTTTCAGTTGTTAGATCTGTAGTTGTCTTGATCTGCATTGAAATGAAACTCAGTGATACTACTGTTCCCCAGGTGACCACAGCAGTTAATGTAAGCGTGCTTGACTGTGGATGGGGTGAAAAGTGAGCAGGTATAGACTCACCTGTGATGATATATGCATTCCCATTTGATCAGTAGTTTTGATATGAGTCTCAGAAGGAGCCTGGATCACTCTAGGCTTGACTGCTTTCGGGACAACATGGGGTACTGAGGCTGGACGCTGGGGGTGCTCAGCTACCTTTGCGGCAGAAACCTGTTCCTTATATCCGTACTCCAAAGTGGTCTGCTGAGCGTAGGACTCTTCAGGAGGCCTGGGTTCTCTGGGCTCTCTAACACGAGCCTGGTCTACCGCAGCAACAACTGTTGCTACAGCTTCAGCCTTCTTTCCAATGTCCACCTAGAGACAAGGTTTCCGGAATTAGGGCACAGTAATGTCAAAGTTGGGCTGGGTCATCTCCTAGGGACATCCTCCTGGGACATCTCTTCCTAGTCATTCAGAATAAACAAATGCCTAAACGCATGATAGGTAGGTGGTACCCAGGTGATACAGCAGTGTTAATGTGTCTAGAAATGGAACTCAGAAAGGCATTCAGGAACTTACTGTGTCATTGATTATTATATAGACTAGACATCTACGTAGTATTTAGATACATTCTCTATATATCTGCTAATTATACTAGACAATAAATCACAGAGACATAACATAGGACAACCACGGCCAATTAACAAATGGGAAATCAGAACTTTGGTGCCAGTTATCTTCACTGATTCTTTTTGTTATCTTGTCAATCATCTAGTTCAGTGTTGACGTACTGACAGCAATGATAAAAGTACACTCAAATACCATCCTCATCCCACCCAGAAAAATCAGTTACTACAGCGTTATATGGTTGCGTGCAAAGCTGAGATAATGTAAAAGCTCGTGAACACAGAGCAAGCACAGACATTCACTTATGATTCCCTAGGGATAAGATTTGTTTAATCTATTAGAAAATTTCTCTCTTAAAACACACAAATGAAAAAAAAAAGCCACATGAATGAAAATATTATGATTAAAAGGAAATTGTGATCATGTTTGAATTCAAGAGAACAACCTTATACACGGGAGTTTATTTTCGTTATTACCAGGAGTTAGAGTGAAGAAAGAAACAGAAATAGTCACTTCTACGAATCAGATTAATGTAAATGGAAATACAATTTGCAAAGAAGTTTCTCTTTTAAAGAAAGCAAACTGGAGGATGTGGCTTACATGTTATGGTTCTATGCCATACTTGGAAAAGCACATTATATAGCCATGTTCATCCAGTGCACTTTTTAAAATCAACATTCAGTTTTCCTTGCCTTGAATAGAATCTAGAATACAACTGAAATATTTTTTAAGTCTTTACAAATTATTCTCTAAACCACTTAAGATATAAATAAGGAGAGGAAATTCCTTCTGAGAGGAAACTGGGCCTCTAGTGATTGTGGGCTTTATCTAGTGATTCTTTCTAGGGAGACACAAGGAATTTAATCTGCCTTGAGGGAGTGCAAATACCATCTTCACTTTAGATGGATCTTAGGAGAAATTATAAAATATACATGAGGCTTAGGTGAGTTAAGTTTGTTCATTTATTTGTTTCCTTTTTAACCATATAGACAATTACTTGACTTTATAGATGTTTAAAAATGTTAACATCTTTTACAGATAACACTATATATATATTTATAATCACTCTGCAAGCAAAGATATATGTATCTAGCAAAGATATGTATCTATCTTTGCTTGCAGAGTGATTACATTTGCACTATACCTTATGTGAACCTTACAACCAGTCTACAACATGAAGTAGGCAAGTTGAGTTCTAATTTTATTTTAACAATGATAGAACCAAAGCTCAAATATCACACAACTGAAATACATAAATCTTATTATTAATTTAAAACATAAGAAAAAATTCTTAATTATGGTAGGATATTTTAAATTGAGGAAGCATCTTTTTGTTGAATTATATTGTATGTCAAATCCACGTACATCTACTATTTGATGGGACAATTATAAATAAGCACCGTACACTAGTACCTGCTCTTATTTCTTACTGGACTTTACTATCCTTCCCCTTTGAAACCTAGATAAACAGGAAGATGAATTGGACTAGGAGACCCCAATTCACATAGGTTTAATGCTGAGAATAAATTCAGGAGATACAAAGAAAAGTGCTATTTCATCTGACTTTTCACTACCAGAAATGCTAACTGGTCAACTGAAGAACCTGGATTGAATCGAGCCAGTCCTAATTTTTTGTTGATCTGTTAAGCAATTAGGTGGAATATTAAAGCACAACTCATGATGGATGGAAATTTATAAGAGCTGATGATGAAATGGGATGAAACAATGCTTTTCACCTCCACAGCATCTGTTTTCATTTCCTCTTGAAAAAGACGTATTTGTTCTCGCTTAACAGCAAATCCTTCTCTAGTTATTGGTGCAGTGGCGGGTTCAGTAGACTTTGCAGTAGTAACTATTACCTTAGGTACAGACATTTTCTCGGCTTTCATCCTTAGCTAATTTTTAGCAACAAAATAAGACAGTCAATTATGGCAAAATTAGAATGGAGATAAAATTCAAAATTAATCACTCATAAAGTATGTTGCATATTGGAATTTCTGTCATCTATGACATTTCTGAAGGCTGATAAGCTATTAGATATTAGACTTGGGTAAAGGTTTAAAAGATTTATCTTAAATCATGACTCAGAACAGCGGTTCTCAACCTGTGGGTTGTGACCCACAGGAACTGCATTAAAGGGCTCTGGCATTAGGAAGGTTGAGAACCACTGCACTTTAGAATATAAATCAAAGATGTAGAGCTAGAAAATGACATTGGGGGAACATAAATTGGACTTAGGCCATGATGCTAATGAAATTAAAAAACTTTATTTGCTATTTTCCAGATACTATATATTCACAATAAAGAATACAATTAGGTAAATAGCTCATTTACGGTAAATGGTGCTCATTGGAAGTAGTTTAGTTCATGGAAATTTCATAGCTACAAATAGATGCAGTAACCTTTTCATGGTTTATGTGTAATTATTCTGGTTGGATATTTCCTTCTCTACATTTTAATATTGCATCTTGTTTAGCTTTACTGGGAGTGTACACCAGGCTCCCTAAATTCCTCAGCTTATTTTCTCATCTGATATTTACAGGGGCAAAAAAAAAAAAAAGTTCCACGTGAAGAAAATTATGGATAATTTCCTAAAATAAATCCATACCTCATCATGGTATACTAAATTTATGACCCTTCAAACCACACATCTTCTGGACAGTGAGATTTATCATTTACTTTTACAACTTTTATAGAGTTTATTTTTCAATGTTCATGGGAGCTCTTAAAATTAACCTGCATGCATTTCAAATCATCAATTTCTGGAGGATTTCCAGATGTTAATAAAACGTTGGAAATAACGTGAAGAGATAAGTAGGGAAAGGAATATGTAATAATAATATTAATAATAATAAATAATTTGGTGTTTTAGTTTCCAGTTCTTTAATTGTCTAAAAAACAAATTTGGTTAATAGTGTCTCATACACGAATTCAGAGATTTGGTATTAATGTATTACAACAGGGGACTTCACGTGAGATCTGGTATTAATGTATTATAATAGGGGATTTCACACTTGGAATAGCAATAGTCACCTTTCCATGGGTAACCTGGATTTGTTCTTGTCTAGCAGCCATTCCTTCTCTAGTTCTCAGTATTGTTTCTTGTTCTTTGGCTTTAGCAGTCGCAACTGCTATCGTAGACAAGGCAGTTTTCTCAGCTTCCTTTCTCATCTGATTATTATAGTAAAATCAAGATTTTAGTTGGACAGGGCTTCAGACACACATGATAGGATCCATCCCCCCTCTTAGTAGGGATGCAAGATGAAGTTATTTGGGATTAAATACACAACAGAAATTAACTTGCTGCTGAGAATCACAAAACTCAGAAATGAAAGGTGGGAAACCTGTGGCCTCCAGGCCACATCTGGCGGTGCTTTTTAAAAATTAAGCTAAAAATGCTAATCTTCATGCAAAGGATAATGGTGAATATGATGAATTATGAATGTTATATGTGGATGAAAATCAAGTGTGCGGGTTAAAGTGTGTGGGTCATCAGTCACATGTTTACCATTTGGGTTTTAGTTAGAGGTTTAAAAGGAATATACAGATTAATACTTCATACCATATTGTAGTTAATAGTTTACTGGAAAATGGTTTAAAGATGAACTTGTTATATTTCAAATATCTGTATTCACCTTTTCCTGAGTTATTTGAACTTGTTCTCTTTTGGTAGTGATGCCTTCTCTACTTCTTGATACTAAATCTTGTTCTTTGACTTTGGGTGTGGCAACTATGACTTTAGGTACCACTGTTTTTCTAGTTTCCTTCATTATCTGATCATACAGTGAAAAGAAAGGTAAGAAAGTAGTCATTAAATTTCATAAGCCACTAATAAAAAAAAAAACATAAGTAAAAACTGTGAAAGGATGCAAAATTTCTTCCCATTCAAGAGCATTGTAATTACACTTAAATATAACATTGGAGTTTGCTTTGATTATCCAGACTGTTTCACTGGTAAGAATAAGTCTAGTTTAAAGGGGAAAAATTGTGATTAGCCATAAAAGACTAAGAAGTGCTAGTTATCTTTTTTTTTTTTTTAACTTGTCTTATAATCTATGGGAAATTCCAATAGAGCCATATACAGATAGCATAACCATTTTTTCATATTATCAATTGATTTATATACTGGAGTCTCCAACAGGAAGATATTAAGGTGAATTATAATATATTAGTAACAATCCAACGAAAATCTGCAAGTTAGGAATGAGGTGGCAGTGAAAGCTGGCTGGACGGAGAAAGGAATTTTCTATTTGAGTTATAAGAAGAGGAGGAGGTGAAGAAGTGCTGACTAAGATCTGTGATGAAGATGTGGGTGGCTTGCAAATGAAATGGTGCAAAGAGTGACTTTGACATTGGCAGGAAGTCGTCACCTTTTCCTGAGTTACATGCATTTGCTCTTGTTGGGTGGCAATTTCTTCTTGAGCTCCCAGGACTGTTTCTATCTTTGTGGACTTTGCAGTAGCAACTACCACCAGGGACGCAGCAGCTGTCTCGGTTTCCTGTCTTATCTAATGTTTAGGGTAAAATAAACATTTGTGTTTCGAAAGGTACAAAAGAAATGGCAAGATCGGCTCAAAACATTCACAATACTGAGTGGTGAAAGAGAAAATGTCACATTCCCATTTTAGGGGCCTACGCTTGTGCTAAAGACACAGATTTTTGTTTTTCTGAGGGATAGGCTTTTTTTTTCTTTTTTTCTGTCAACTTGACCCTCAGCAAATTATCCTGGAACTAAAAAAAAAAAAAAAGTCTCATCTTTGAGACATGCTGACATGTTAAAGAACCCGGTGAGTGGCTACTGGCAAAGGGCTGGAAAATTCTAGGCTGGCTGAACTTGCCAGTCACCAGCACTGCAATGGTAACAGGGATTTCTATACTCTTGGTGAGGCCAAGTAGGATTCTTGCTGCATTCAAAGTCTCTCACTCACAAGGAGAGAGAAATTCAGCCAGCACCCTCTGGCCAGCCTGTTCAGTATATGGCGCTCTCATTTGGACCTTTTAAGAAAAGTAGCTCTGAGGTCAGCAAAGATCTTTGGATCAAGGGAGGTGAGCACAGGAGCCCCCTGAATGGAAGATGCCTTTCTCCTGATACTTCAAGGTTGGATTTCACAGCTGGAGAGACCTGGATTTAGGTAACATTGAGATGGTCCGTACAGGTCTTCAGGTTTGACAGTAAACACTTCTAGTTCCCTGTTTATCAACGAAGAATTAAGGGCATCTTCTTAAGGAAATACTATCTTCTCTAATGCCCCACATTTCCTCACTTCTCTGATGTCAGCATTTCCTTATTATGTAGTAAAGAGTCTCTACAGCTGATGTATGTGTATGTGCGTGTGTGCGCGTGCATACATACGCATGTCTTACAACTACGAAAAGTTTGTGCATTACAATCTAAGTGACTGAGGGCTCAGACTCGTCATGAAAAGACTGACTATACCAGTGGGTAAGGGGACTGGGCTGACATCCATCTTCTACTTAGGTACACTCTAGATAGTTCACAGATGTGCCCCAAACAGTGCTAGAAGCTAGACAATCTCCTGAAAATTGATCCAGCGAGTGGAAAATAATGCAATAAGAAGAGAATTTCTATCCTGAAAGAGTTTCAATAGTAGACACAGAGGAACAACAAAAAACAGAAAACATAACAAGACTTCTCCATTTGGAGGTTTGGTTACAGGAAGGGACATGCAGCTGGGCGGTGTGTGGTACTTGTCAACAAACTACCAGATTTTTATAAACTTGGACTTACTGTTTTTTGAGTTACTTCTTTTTGTTCTTGTTTTGTAGTAATTTCTCCAGTAATTCTAGTTTCTTGTTCTCTGGCTTTGGCAGCAGAAATTACTACCTTTGGTACAAATGTTTTTTCAGTTTCTTTTCTTATCTGCAATCAGTGATAAAAACAAAACCTTATTATTTCCTGATCCCCCGTGGAAGTGGCATGGCATTTATGAAATATAACAAAATAGGAATTTGAAGAAGTAAAATCCTTTTCTCTGGAGATGTCATTAAATAAAATAATCTCATGTACACTAATATGACCATGCTCTTTTTCTGCCTAAAACATAATTTGGGCAGCAGAGAGAGGAAAAAAAGTAGACTTCAACAGTGTTTATTTTGAACAGGAGAGTTGCAGTCTCCTTTAAAAAGGGTTCCAATTCTTACAAATAGATATATGGCAATATCATTCTATGCTAATGCTGTCATCTAAGATATTCTTAGCATGCCGGATATGAGAACAGAAGGCCTTAGAAATAATTTTGTATATATTTTATATATGAGAAACCAAGTGTGGATAATTTATAATCTACTTTTATACAATATTTTTGTTTTGCAAATTTTACTAAATATTGTGATGGTTTGGTGTACTCTTCTAAAGTTAAGACATTACAGGAAGAAAAATTTTTTCACATATTCTTGGAGAAATTTTTCCCAAATTCTTAACCCCCCTGAGGATGCTGCACTTCTACCTGGATACCCAAGGTATATGTGTTTGTGGGGGGAGGGGAGTAAGGGAGTAATTTTCTCATTTGCCTTTTTGTCATTCTTAAATGTCTCATCATTGAAGCTCAGGATCTCAGGGCTGCAAGGGACTTGAAAATTCACCTTCTCAAACCACTCAACTGACAGTTGGCCTTAGCCAATCTATTCCCAGGTGCCTCTAATCACTGGGCTATCCTTTTCACTTTTTCATCAGTAATTTGGCCTACAGAAGCCATGCTGTGCATTCCACTTCAAACCCATGTGTGAAAGTCCTCTCATGTCACCAGGAAGCAGTCGCGAATCTTTTTAAAGCAAAGTGTGTTCTCTTCCACTCTTGCCCATTCCTACTTCAGCATCTATTTCTCCCTCGCAGTTTTATCCTCTGGTCCCCTCTAGTCACACATTTAGTTAGTGTGTTCCCAGAACGATGTAGGGGAGGCCAGTTTCTACTCCTACCACAGAGGTACCTTTCATCAACACAGGGAACATCCGTCTATGAGAGTTTGAGATCCAGTACCCAGAAATACACACAAGGGTTTATTATGTTACAAACAACACACACAACCACCAAGAAGCAAGAGCCTTCCTGGTAAAGATTCTTATCTATGCGCACACCTGTAATAACATTAATGAAATGCAAATCAAAAACCATTTTCACCTGCTCATGAGTTACGTGCATCTGCTCTTGCTTTGTGGTAATTACTTCTCTGGCTCTTGTTTTTAATTCCTGTTCTTTGGTTTTATCGGCGGCCACTGCTACCTTAGTTACAGCAGTCCTCTCCGCCTCTTTTCGTACCTGGTTTTCATAGAGGAAAGGAAGGAGACATTTTAATGCGTCTTATATAAAAAGTTACAATCATATATTTGGATTAAGACATAAATGTCACACAAGAGAGGATAAGAAGGAAAGCTAGAGTAATTTTAAACTATAACAGGAAATCCATTCAAATGCAAGGTGGGAAATTACCCTGGATTTATAACACTGTTCAGCTATGAATCAAGTGTCACATCTGTTTTGACGAAAGTAAAAGCACTGGTCCTTTGGGGGAAGCTTAGAGAAATGCAACGTTTGTCCTGAAATGGTGGATTCCGTGCCTGGCTCCTAAAATTGCTGAGCTCTGTTTTTGAGGGTGTCTCTTGTTCAGCTGTCGCCAACCACCTGTCTCCTGCTCAAGTGGGAGTCTCTAGGCACCTACCTTGAATACTGTAGGTAACTTTTCCCTGCCAGACATAGCACAGACATTTCTGGTCTGGTCTGCTCTTGTGGTATTTACACCTTAAACACCTTTGGTATCTCAGATCACCTTTTGCTCTTTTCGTTCTAGAAATCTGGGCCCTGCAGGGCTCAGAGCTGCCCTCAAAATGATAGCCGCACGCAAATCTCAGCGGAGGGCGTGCGAGCGAAGGACGCGTGCGCGGAAGGCCTCGGCGTGCGGGCGCCCCCTGGCGGCCTCGTGCATACCTGTTCCTGAGCAGGTTGGACGCGCACAGCAGTCGTGGTTGTAGTTGTCCTCTGAGCAGTCTGCTCTACAGCGCTGATAACTGGTTCTCTCACTCTCGCCATATCAACAGCAGCAACGACAGTCGCAACAGCTGCACTTTTGTCAGTTTCTTGTTTCACCTGGATCGGAAATGACCAAGTAGATTACTTTTTAAAAGACATGTCTGGGAGAAGATAAAAAAGCGCGATGGAAACCGAGCTAAGTCGAGTAAAATGTCCACCTATCTATGCCTTGATTATTACCAAGAAATACAGGGTCTGTGGAGTTGAAACCTATATTTTATGTAAACTTCACAGATTAGAGCTTTTGTCCCAACTTTTTTTTTTTAAAGAAGCTTTTGCAATGGGTGGTGGCCAAATTTGGCCTTCAGTTCCTGTTATAATTTTATGTTCCTATTCCTTTTTTCTCTGATCTCTGCAGAGTGACAAATCAGGTGGGGGAAACCAGAACAAGACAAAACAGTCCTGACAGTACCTCCTTCGCGCCGGCCTCGACAGCCTCGGCCGACACCCTGGCGGCAGCGCCCGCAGCTCCGCTGATGGTCACTTGCTCCTGGACGCCGTATCTCCCTTCCCACCGCTCTTCCCTCCGGATCTGAGTCGAGCTTGTCAGCGTCGTCTCTCTCATCTCAGCCTCAGTTGAGGAGGCCACGTAGCCCTCCTGCTTCCACGGGGGAGGCACTTCAGGGCCTGTGGCCAGGGCAGATGCCTGGGTCTTACGTGTGAGTAACGGAGACCTCACGGATCTGATGGGGGACGTGGAGATCCTTGCGGCTGGAGACACGGACCTGAAAATCGGAGCTCAGAGGTCAAGAATGCCAGTGAGGCAACTCCAGGAGGGGTAATCGGATTTGAATAATGGGATGAAAATCCGGAAGTGCTTTAAGACGGAGTTTTAAAATGTGTTCTTTGATAACCTATTCAGGGGGGTAAATAATGTACTTGAAAGCAATTTGTTTTAAATCTCAATAAGCCTTGTTCTTATCTCCTGTAACCCTGCAAGGGAATCAGACATAATTCTAAGTAAGCTAAAGATTTTTGTGCCCTGCATGTTCTCACACTGGAAATAAATCAAGACAGAAGAAGGTGCTTCCCTGATAATGCAGTGAAAGAAGGTAGCAAGTCTGGTAATTATACCTCAAGTTTCTCTGTATTCCTAATCCTGGGGACTTAGGGGATATCAAGCAGGAATTAAATGAAGAAAGGTTTCTGTAATCAGAATGCTTGTGCCATTCTGGGCTAAACAAGTGAAGGTGATTCCTCCCCCTGCAGGACTCTCCACAACCCTCACCATGTGGGTATGACTGATGAATGTCCAGGCCAGGGGGAAGAGTTCTCCTGATGCTTTTCAGGAAGGTTTTTGAGTATAGGGTGGACAATGGGTCAAAGGGTTCATGGAGGACGGCTCTTTTAGTTGCCTCCATATTTGTTTATACTCTTCTTGTATTACTCTCTGGGCTTTGTGTACTGTGGAACTTTGCTGATTTGAAAACTAATGATTCTATAGTTTTTTGGTTAAATTAATAAAGTAGCTTCTTCCAAAATAGTTTTCACTGTTTGCTTTTTAGGTGTATCCAACGTGCAAGTAGCACCAATTGAAAATTCTCCTGGTGTCAACAGCCAAAAGGGACAGTTTCTGATCTGTATCAATAACTCTGGAGATTGGTCAACTATTTTAAGGTAAAATTTTTCAAAACTAGGTAGAACCTCTGTAGTTGGCCACATCCCTGTATTGGCCCCCTCCTTACATTGACCTAATTTTCATAGACCAGACCTGCACCCTATGTACATATGAGGACATTATGCCTAGTTCCTCATGTTGGCCACCTCTGTATGTTGACAAGTTTGTTGCAGCCTCTTGGGTGGTCAACTTACAGGGGTTCTTCTGTAATGTATTAATTAGTAAAGTTTATTACATTTTCTTCTGTAGGTGGCAGTATTGCCTTATCATTGTATTTATTCATTCTTCATATAGAAAAATGTTTGTAGATGTATTCCAGCATTATATAGGACATTTAGCTTACATTGATCACAAATGGAATAATTATTCCAATTAAGCTCGAGGTACAATTGATATTTGCCCTAAATTACGGAGTAACTTAACAGGATATTACAACATGAACCAGTCTCACAGAGAAATGTTTAATCATTTTCTTGAAGAAGGGCTTTTTTGGTAAAAAAATCAGTTTACATTTTGTAAATGAACTTGTAATTAAACTAAAAAGAGATCTGGGGAATGAGTCTCTATTCTTGAATGACTGCCTTAGAAATGTAATAGAGAGTAGGTTAGAATAGTGGACGGTCTCTGCCATTTGAAGAAATGCAGAGATGTGAGCTTTTGGTTTCAACCTGGGCCTTGTTTTTGCTGTACCTAGCAAAGTGGGTTAAATTCAAAAAGAGTTAAAAACATGATTAGCATGACATGAGTGATTAGCCACAGGCTGCAGGTAAGCCCATAACTGTGAAAATCAATGTAATTTCAGTCATTATAGGGAAGTGCTTTATTTCTGCACTTATAATAAAAAATAATCACCTGGTCACAGCTAGATACAACATTCCTTATTCAATGAAATATGCTTGCCTTACTCCACACCAACAATCAAAATTAAACTATGAGACATTTAGGAAGTAGACTATCTTGGGTAACCATTATTTTCTCCACAAATTGGCATTTTGTTTCTTAATTATTTTAAAGCAAGTTCGGGGGGGATTTAGTAATTTGGCTGGTTATTAATGAACTCTTAGAACTGGAAGTGCTAAGATAATCAAAATGCTCCGTGGGATTGGAGACATAATTCTAAACGACCCTTAGGCTTGGATCGAAAAAATATAGTGAGGTTGTTATCTCCCTCGGAAATCACATTTGCACTGTGGTGTGGTTCCATGATGTGCAACCTTGGAATTAGCCTGAGACTGAACACCTTTTTATTTGGTTGCTGGACATGTTTTTAAAAGTCAGCCTTTTGTTTAGGGTTTCATGTTAGTGTTGGCAAATATCTTTCATTTTTGAAGTGGCAAAAAAAAAATATTAGAAAATATCTAACATTTTATAATAAATTTATTGGATATTTACATTGTCTCTTCTATGAATGCTTATATTTCCTGTCATTGTTTTCATTTGTATTGTGTACTTTTTCTTTAAAAATTAATTTATGAACACTTTTTCATACATTTGGTACACTAGTTCTTTGTCATGAGTGTTGTACACGTTCCCCCGGTTCCACTGCTGGCATGTTGCTTGTTTACCAGGGGTTACCCAGGACTCACACAGATAGTTGTGTCCATTATGTACTGTTTTTAGGCTGGTAGGGTTCACACTGTAGCCATTGTGTGTTTACTACAATATCTCTCTGGCAAAGGCAATGAAGTATGTTGAGGAAGGGGAGCCTTTAAAAATTTATTTTCACTAATGCACTGTTTGGATTAGTAATGACTTTGCTGTTGCCATACATACATTTTGATTTGTATGCAGTTGAATCTGTAAATCTCTTTTCAAAAACTCTTCCTCATATGTTGTCTTAAATTTTCTTCCCCTTTGTTTTCTTATTTCTTTTTTATTGTTTTTAGTTTTTTAGAGACAGGGGGTCTTACTCTGTCACCCAGTTCGAGAGCAGTGTTACCATCATAGGTTTTAATTTTTTTAACTTAACTTTTTAGAGAAACTGGGATTTATTTAGTGAATGGTGTGAGGTAGAGGTTTATGTTTGTTTTCTTCCAGATGGACAGCTACTTGAGCCAGCACTCTTTATTAAAATATCCTCCCTTTCCCTTTTTGAATTGAAAGGTCTCTTTGATTAAAAATTGCATGTCCTATATATCTGGATCTATTTCTAGACTATTCTGCTCCTCTGATCTATTTTTCTATTTATGTACCAACATCATAATGCTTTTGTTTTTTTTTTCCTATTGTTGGGGATTCATTGAGGGTACAAAGAGCCAGGTTACATTGATTACATGTGTTAGGTAAAGTCCCTCTTCTAATTGTGTAGAATCTAATCTAATGTTTTGATTATAAAAACTTTATAGTAAGTTTGAAATTTTATTAGGTCAACTATCTCCTTATCATTCTTCTTTTATAAACTTTCTTGGCAGGGGTTCTTAACTTCATTTAAATTGATGAAGAAAATTTGTTTTGGTTCAAATTATATCTATTTTTCAGTTCATCATAATAAAAACTTCTTCATGGTGGTGCTTGTGGCTCAAAGGAGTAGGGCGCTGGCCCATATACTGGAGGTGGCGGGTTCAAACCCGGCCCCAGCCAAAAATTGCAAACAAAACAAAAAAACAAAAAAAACACTTCATCATGATGAACTAAAACCCAGAGTTTCAGATCCACTGTGAATAATTTTCACTGAAGTATATAATTTCTGAGCCCTGATAATACATGCTCACCTTCTAAGTTATCTCCATATTACCTAAGCACAGAAATCTATTTTATTTTCTAGATAACATAAGCAAAATAGTTGAAGGTTTTACTTATCACCTTGAGTATAAGAATATTTGCATAATTATTATCTATTTGCAAGGCACCTTCAACTAATTATCTCATTGAATTCTCACAATGCACCTTGGGATCAGTCTTATTGTGATTCTTTTTATTATTTAATGAGATAATATATGTAGAATATCAATCAAATGTGTGACATAGAGGAAGCCATTAATATATAGTAACTATTATGTTATTATTATAATTGTTGTCTTAAATCAAACTATTAGCAAGTGACTGGGCTGATTTGAACTTAGGGGTTTCAACCCTAACTTCTGGGCTCTTTTCATTTCACTGTGCTAGTTTTTGGCCCCTACTGCAGATATTTATTAAGTGGAATATAAATAAGAATTTAAAATTAGAACTTGTAAAGCTCCTCAATTTACCTGTGGGCTATGAGGATTTGTGAAAATCACATTCAGTAATTTCTTGTTTTACTTCCCTTTATACTGGCTACATTTTTGTTTTGTTTTATTTTGTTTTGTTTTTTGTGAGACAGAATCTCTCACTCTGTTGCCCTGGGTGGAGTGCCAGATGTCATAGATCATAGCAACTTCACACTCTTTAGCTGAAGTGGTCTTTTTGCCTCAGCCTCCTGAGTAGCTGGGACTATAGGTACCCATTAAAAGATCTGACTAGTTTTTCTATTTTTAGTAGAGATGGGGTCTCACTTTTGCTCTGGCTGGTCTCAAACTCCTGAGCTCAAGCAACCATGTTGGCCTCCCGGAGTGCTAGGATTACAGGCGTGAGTCACTGTGCTTGCGCTACACTGGCTACAATTTTGATTGCATGAAACCTAATTTAAAAAATGCATAATAACCTGCTGTATTTAAAGAAGGTTTACCTGACTGGAGACGGGGTCGGTGCCCGCACATGTCTGACCGGGGAAGGGGAGTGTCTTATTGGTGATGGAGACTGCTGTCGAGACAGCTGTGCTTTGGCAGCAATGGATGGTGGTGTTGGAGACCTTGACTTTGGCTTAGGAGGAATCCTGGGAGGTGTTTTATGTGGCAGCTGTTGCCCAGCAGCACCGTCCATGACCATCTCAACTGTTGCAATTGATCTGGCATCAAAGTGGGCTTCAATCTTCTGTAAAAGATTAAACAAAGTCCCTGTTGAGGAGGACTACCTGGGAAGCAACAACATGAAAAGGCTTGAAAACCGGCAGTGTAGAAAAGTACCTTTTCAATTCGGGTTTGTCTTGTTTCCGAAATCTGAGCAGTCGAAACAATTGTCTTTGTCTTTTTAGCGGGTACTACTTCTTCACCTGAAGGGAGGGAAAGATGACTATTTAGCAGGGGGCACAATGACACATTTTGAAAGAGATGCTGTCAATTCCAACTACAAAGTCAAGAAAGACATTCTGGCTATCCCGATGGAGGAAAATGCAGAAAGTTTCAGTTCCATATGAATATAAATTAGCTTTAAAAATAGAAAATGTTCATTATTAGATAAAAATTTATTCAGGACCATTTTTCAAAAATTCCATTATTTGCCAATAATTTAAAAATGCTGATCACTTAATTGAAACACATTCCAACTTATAATGGAATGGAATATATAACCAGAGATTGCTTCAATTTTGAGCTCATGCCTAGATTCTCCAAGGCTTTTCTTTCCATGGAGGTTAAAAAGCCAACTTTGATTACAGCTTACAGCCTTCCCAGGGCCCTGAGGGCAGGCAGGTGGACACCTGGCCCCACTGTGTCCCAAACCATCCCTCTTTCTTTTCTTCTTTCATTCTTCAACCTCCAGCACATACCTTGAACCAGCAATTCAGCAGTCGAAGTAGCTCTTCCAACGCTATTGGTAGCATTTACTGAATAGGTTCCAGAATCTTCAGGGTATGCTTCTGCAATTAGTAAGCTGTAGAGGTCGCCTTCTTGTGAAATTTGAAAATCAAGGGAGCTCTGGATTTCGGCTCCATCCCGATAGAACTTCACCACAGGTGTAGGGATTCCAGTCACTCTCACTTGGAGTCTCACTTGGCTTCCTTGTCTCACGGTCATGCTCTGCAGTCGTTGAACGAAGTTGGGTGGTGCTGTCTCTGCTGCAGGGGGAAGAGAAAAAAGTGAGGACTTTTTTTTTTTTTTTGATTTCTATATCTGTTTATCAGTTTGAATCTACAGGTTCCCCCTCCATCTCTTTTCATCTTTTTGCTGTTTTTTTTTTTAATTAAATCATAGCTGTGTACATTAATGTAGTCATGGGGTACAGGGTGCTGGTTTTATATACAATTTGAAATATTTTCATCAAACTGGTTAACATAGTTGGTTAACTGGTTAACATTTTCTTAGTTATTGTGTTAAGACATTTATATTCTACATTTAGTAAGTTTCACGTGTACCATTGTAAGATGCTCTGTAGGTATGGTCCCACCAATTACCCTCCCTCCATCCATCCTGCCCCCTCCCCTTCCCTTCCTTAAAAGTGAGGACTTTGAGCCAGGATGCTTCCAACAGGACATTTTTAAACAATCACAGCTCTAATTCCAAAACCAGGCCATGACTCCTCGCCAATCCACATCCTTCACTGTCCTTGAACTCAACTCATCCAGCAAATAATAGTTAAGAATGGAGCCTGATGATAACTCACCACCCTATTTTGTTTTATTTGCTTTGTTTTGTTTAGCAGTTGTAAGCCATTACCATTTTGTTTCTTTGTTTGTTTTAAAGAAAAAAAATTAGATCTTGTGAGAGCATTTCTGGAGAATCTTCCTGACACTTTTCCCAACTGCACATTTAGCACTGTACTAACATGTTAAGGCAACTTCATTGTTTAGGTACTCAAGTAACCCAAATATTTCCTTGTGTTTAAAATATTAATCCCTATAATGACATGATTTCATGTTAATTATGCTACAGAAAGGGGAGTTTTTTTATTATGTTGAAAGACTTTTTCATAAGATAAATGTGAAGAGTAAATGGAATTAACTTTGACATGTTTTTGAGCAATAAACAATAGCAGATGCTGCCAACCATGTGCATTTCCATTTCTGGGTTTTTTGGATGCCATGATAAGTTTCACACCTGATGTTAGCTGATGTGCTTTCTGTTTAGGCCAATTATAGCCCTGTGCTTGAACATTGCTGAAGGTATATTTTATTGGATAAGCCTATGTAATATTATGAAGCTCATTCAAGATATTATGTGTAAAGTCACAAAATGTTCTGTGTCTCACTAGGTAATAAAGGACGGAGAAAAATAGCAGAGGCCACTACGATTGGAGATAACTTTTCTGAGAAAACTGTTTTATGCATTTGAATAATAAATAAACATTTGCCTTTCTCTGGATATATTTACATGTTTCTTAAATGGGTGGCCTGTGGATTACCTGCATCAGAATTATCTGGGTGCTTGTGTGAATTCCTGGAGATATATGTATTATTCCTCATTTGACTTCTAACCAAAGCTCTAGGCCTTTCTATGTACTGAGTTACATAATTTTTAGCATTGCTTAGCATACTTTTGAGTGTTTAATATATGTAGAGAAACTGATTTACAGCCACTAAGGAGCTATATTTTGAGAAGGAAATTAAATTCCAGAAGCAAACAACTTTGTTATAAATTCAGCCTCCAGCAGTTCTCCTGTAGGTTCAAAGCAGTGTCTGCTCTGTTCACAGTTTTCTGGAGCCCATTCCCCCTGTGTTAGCAATGTCCTCTGGGGGTGGAGGACTGGCAGGTCCCCACCAGCCTACCTGTCACGAGAAGCTCAGCAGTACTAGTCGCTTGTCCAGATCCATTGGTAGCTCTCAGGGAGTATCGTCCACTGTTGGCTTTAGTCACGGCGGGGATCACCAGCTTAGCGCGGCCATCGCTAAGGGAGATCTGCACGCCGGGCAGCGTGGAAGTAGAAATTTCCTGGCCATCCCTGAACCAGCTCACCTCAGGAACTGGGAAACCTGAAGAGCAAGGACAATGTGTCTGTAAGACCAAGTGGCACCTCAAAGTCTTCTGCCCTGTGCCATTGTGCTTACTGCCTGGCCCTGAGCCATAAAGCTCTCCAGAGTGGAATGATATTTAATGACAGTGAAAACCTGACAGTCGCATGATCAAAGTGTAAACTTGCAGACCATTAAGGAAGGTGGAGGCTTCGTGTGAAGGCCAGTGCCTTCATTTCACAGGGGTAGAAACTGAGGCCAAGAGAGGCTTAAGGAATTTTTCTAAGGTCTCCCAGCTAGCAGTAGCTCACAGACAACTAGAATTTCTATCTTCTGCCCTCCTGCACCAGGGCTCCATCTGATGCAATTTAATTTAATTAATTTAATTATAAATTCCTATAAATTAAGAAATTTATAAAAGTGAAGAACCAAGGAAACTTTGAAATAAAAAAGTGACTATTGTCCTTTTTGCAAACAAGTGAAGAGTTAAGGGATCCTCGGGTTCTGCCTGACAATCTCAGGAGGCACAGTCACCTCCCTCCTCTGTGGTCAGGGGGACCTGCCTTCCTGAACTTGCCTGCTTTCAGATGTGCAGTCAGTCAAGGCACCGTAATACGGAGAGGCAGTTTTCCCACAATAAGAGACTCAGCTAAACCTAGTCTTTCAGAACAACATGGATGGTTGGAATTGCAGCTAGAAAAGCCAAATTCTCTTTACCTGCTTTAAATTGTAGAGCTAATTACTACCTGCATATGGTTTGATGTTTTATGTGTATTAAGTCTCTGTATTTAGAAGGCACGAAGGAAGTTCCAAGCGTGCCTTACTTTTCATTTGGCATAAATGCTAGTGATTTATCTCGGTAAGTGGAGAAGTAAAAATAATGTAGAGAAAGTCTATTTTGTTGTCCTTGTATTAGCCAATCTTTCACTATGGCTGAGTAAATAGTATGCTATTCTGATGCATGAGCGTAGAATGTTTTCAGTAGTGTTCTAATAAGAATTTATTACCATATAGTGTGAAGGAACAAGAAATTAGGAGGTAGCCAGATTCCACTAACCCCCAAGCAGGCAAATTCCCACAGAAGCCATATGTGTTCTAATCAATTCAGATGTTACTAAGTGTTACAAAATAAATGAGTGAAGTATAGTAGACCCTCCCTAAGGTGACCACCCAAGGGACTGTAACAACCTGGTCAACATACAGAGGTGGTTAACATAAGGAACTCAGTCTACTGTACTGATATGTACATGTGGTATATGTCCAGTTTATGAAAATTAGGTTAACTTAAGGAGGTGGTCAATGTAGGGAGGCGGTCAACTGTGGAGGTTCTACAGTATTTGAAAGTCACTAAGAGTTTATTATGTGTAAAGAGAATTGGTCTATGTATATACAATAGAAAATAAATAAGGATTATATGGTATTTGTACAATGTAAAATAAAGTATTATTCAGTCATGAGTAAGATTGATGCATGGAATAGGGAAGAAAAAGGAAAGCAAAAAAGAAAATCTTATTTTATATCTTTATTAAAACCATAAAATAAAAAAAAGAGGGCCAATGCTCCATGGAGATAATTAAATTAAGGATCAAGGATGATTTTCAATTAATCCATATAATCTTACATGGATAGTTACAATAGTGCAGAAAAAGACAATACTGATTAAGTAATTTTGAAATTATTTACAATATAGATCAATGACTGTCCTTCATTTTTTCCTAAGAGGGTAGATCCCAGAAGCCATACATTTTCTTGAATTATCCTAAACTGAGTTATGAAGAGGAAGAAGGCAAAAAACCCAAAACAGATAAAAAACTCCCCATCCCCCCCCCCCGAAAAAACAGACAAACATCCTTTTAAATTAAATTCTGGGGTTAATATTTGTTTTTCTTTACTATAGAGATCAGAGTGGCATTTTTAAATGTCATTTCACAATGATTAAAAAGTCTTTCAATTCAATAGGATCACTTAATAAAGATTGAAAATAAAAGCAGAAAACAAGAGTTAGCTCATCACTGAATGCCTTTGCCTCCGAAGAAAGTCAGATACTTTGTAATTGTCCATATAAAGCAACTGAAGTTCAGGTGCACAGAGTGGTCAGCCAGGCTACATACCCAGCAGCTCTGTGGCTGGTACCATGGGCTTGAGTTCTTGGCTTCCAGTCTGACTCTGCAGCTGAGCCCAAATATAGAATGACCGTATTTGGTCCTACTTAGCTGCTTGATTCTGACAGCAATTTTAAACCAAATGCTAATTTTTTTGCTTTGTGAAATTATAAATATGAATAAAACATCTTTGAGCCATTATGTTGTCAAATTTTGTCAGTACTCTGTGTATGGTATATACCCTTAAAAATGACCCTTCCATAGCATAGGACCAATTTTACAATGTGAAAACCCAGCTTAAATTTGACATCAAGTCTTGCAGCAACGTTAACCTACTGGAGAGGAGGCAAAGAAAACAAATGAAAGCGTGAGTGTGTGAGCTTACCACTAATATGAGCCTCAAAGGTTGCGGTACTACCCTCCAGTACCACAACGCTTTGTAACGGCTGCGTAAACGTCGGTGCTTGAGTTGTCATCTTCTTAGGCACTCTGGAAAGGAAAAACAAAAAATTAGGATGTCACAGCTAAGGGCCACCCTGGAGCTACTTTGCAGATTGCAGAGACACACATTTCTCCCAATGGATTGCTGGGTCTAGAGTGATGGGCAGGCCTTCTTTGTGGTTTAAATTTCAATAGTTGACCTCTGAGGTGACTTGAAGCCTAATACAAAGTAGCAAGTCCAAGGACAAGAGGAAAAATAATCAGCGGAGCTGGGCAAGGAATGTGCCTAGCCGTCAAAGAGGGTACTGTCCAGCCTTTCCACTGTTCCACAGGGTGGAAAATCAGGTTGAGAGATGAAGAAAAACCACAGTAGTGACAGGAATAGCGAAGTGTAATTAAAGACAAGACACACGTGACAAATGTAACATGCGTCTCTGCACCAGCTTAATGTATAAGAAACAATGATTTTTTAAAAATTTCTTTTCTCCAAATGTTTCCACTCAGTGTATCTACACTTATAAAGGTGACATTGATTCTGATATTATCTGATTGCTTAAAATAGTCACCCGAATGAAAAATTTAAACTTTGCAAATTTCTTCCTGTCTTGAAAAGCTTTGGCAAGTCTCATCAAATATGCAAACTTTGTGTCGACAGCATACGCTGCTTTCCACTTCTTAGCATTTCTTCACACTGTGTACTAAATGTTGCTACTGTCGAAGTAAATATTCAGAAAAATTTAGATTTAAGGGAGCAGGCCAAAATTTATTATAGATAGGAAAGAAAAAAAAATGCTAGCTTGAGCTCCCAAAATGGAACAATTGGCAAACTTAGAATAAGGGAAGACTGGTGTGAAATGTGGATCCAGTAAAAAGGCCTGTGCTTTCATAATGTAAAATATTCAACATCAAAGAAATGAATATTAAATTTGCAGTTAAGTCCTTTTGTTAAGTGGAAGAGCTACTTTGTCTTTTAGTTTCAGAGATACTTACTATGAGAGGAATTTTCTAATCCATAGGTACCTAATTATTCAACATGACTATTCTACTGTTCTGAAATACAAGGGCATTTTCTGAAATGTCAATTGTTGCATTACTATTGGTCATGAAATTTTCACTATTTACTAAAACTTTACAGAGAATCTTCCTAGTGGCAATTCTAAACTATAACTTTTACTGAGTTAAAACAAAATGAAACCAGCATTCTCTCGGATGATAAAATTTGTATTCGGAAAATTCAGACAGCATTCAAAAGGTTTTTGTGAAAACTTCATCAAGAACTCCTTTCTGTAGCACATTAGCCTTAGAATAAACAACTTTTTGTGTCTCAGTTTTCCTGTTTACAAGCTACTGCATCTTCTAAAAATAGCTCTAAGGCTTCTTAGATATATAATACAGAATTATATATCTATGTCTCTATAGGCCTTTACAATTGGCCATCTAATTCTGGGAAGATGGGGAACCAAAGTGTATTTAGAAATAAAAACTCTTCATACATTCTGACCCTTTTTAGCATCAACCTATCTCCTATAATTGGACTGTGAATTAAAAGGTATAATGAGATTCTGAGTGTTTTAGAAAACAATTATATAGCTTTATTCCACATTTCTAAATCTGTTGCAATTAACTGGCCTAAATTGGTCTTAACATTCCTGTTGTCTAGGTACATTTTGTTGATTCAGGGCTTGCTCTTCACAGGCCTTTGTCTAATGAGGTCTAAAGGTATGCACCTAAAATGTCATGCTCCTAAAATAAACCACCCACTGTTGACTGACAGCGGGCAAGTGTTGTGTCACTGTCCTGCAACTGATACCTCGGCAGTTGATTCCCTTAAAAAGTCATGGGGTGTAGCTGATACCACACGCATTTTATCAGAGCTATTCTTGGTGTGCCTCACTTTGTCACAGAGTAATATAACCTTGAACATTCTCAACAGACAAAAAAAAGAGTCTATAAAAGAAGCAAACATTTCTATCTTCGTTTCAGACCAAAACTTTTAGAATAGTAGGTGCATTTGAACAATCTGAATCACTGGATTATTTAGTCAATACACCAAAGCGTTCAACTTTTTAAAGAAAAACGCTCACACATTTTTAAAACATTTAGTAAGTAGATTTGAATAGGGGCTCAGCATTAGCAAGAGGAAGCTACACAAACACTTCAACAGAGGCATTGAGCACACAAAGGTCATCAGGAGACAGATCAACAAGAAGGCGACTCTACTGTTTAAGTAAGAAAAGACTGCTCACCTGATCTCTCAGGAGTGCCTAAAAAGGGTGGGACTAAGCCCAAGGTTGCTTCTGAAACGACGTCCTATGTAGAGTTGGTTTTTCTGACCATCTCCGACATGAATCGGTGAGCCTCTAAACCTAAAAACAAAACTACACAGTCTTGACTGTGTAGTTTTGCTTTTCTATGCAATCCCTACACCCGAGGCGAGGCTGGGAATGCACGACTGCTCAAGAGCCAGGAGCTGGCTGGCCTGGCCTTATATTCGCCAGATCTGCTGACAGCCCCACATCCCTCCACAGGGTGCTGGCTGATTGGCTGTCTTGGGAAAGCATGATGGGAGAGGGCCTATTTGGGAGTGCCACTTACCACCTGTTCTTCTGATTGGCAGTGCTAAATTTAGGGCCTCTGAAGAGGCTTTACCAACGAAATAGAACTGTATCTAAAGAATAGGTGTGTGGAGGCACAGAGAAGAGCATTGGTTGCTAATGTTAAAATCTGACAATGGGGTCCTAAAAGAAGACGTAACAACAGATAGTCCTTGTGCGCGGTCATATAAAATAGTCCCAAGCCTGAGGTCTCTGCCCTGAGTCAGGCTTCATTCTTGCTCCCCCCAGCCATGTAAAACCAACCAAATGGACCTGTCAATCATGACAGCAGATGAGGGAATTTATCTCATGCATAAGGGTCATTCTGCTTTGAAGAACTGTTGCTCTAAACCTTTGTGTTGAGGAGAACTCATTTGCACTGTCTACATCCTCCAGAATCCCCTTCTACTTTGGGAACAACTAAACCAATGTTAATGAGCTAATAAGTGTTTCTACAACCCTGCAAGAAATGATGTTGAAAGGCAAAAATCTGAACTCTTCCTAGATTTAGTCTGTACAGTGCAATGATTTCACTTTTGTCAGATTTCATTTTTGTCTGCATTAATAGTTACAAATATTCTGACACTGCTCTTTAATAAGTAGCCAAGCCTTATGCTTAAGTCATCCATAGGGTTCTTTTTCCAGGCTCATGATTGCTGAAGTGCTAATCTCTGGAGTTTGCTGTTACTAATGGGAAGTGGTTAGGAGATGATATAGTTGCTATTTTAGGACTGAATTTAATTTCAAGCAAGAGATATTTCAAATACAAAAGAGCATACCAGAATATCTTTATAAAGACTCAGCTGAGAGATTTATAAAACTCTACTTAGAGGGAAGAAAATTGTCTTGTTGATAGTAGAAAGATACTTTTTATCAACAAAATAGACTAAAATTTTAAAATTCAAGTTATATTTCTTTATGTCTCTAATAAAAATGTCTGCTGTTATAGGAGAATTTGGCAATGCATTAGAGTTTGAAACTTCCTGAGTTATGTCATACCTTATAATTACTTACATAGTGATTAATTGGTTAACATTTAAGAGCTTAGGTTTACTGACAACTGATGCGGCACAGTTATATTGACAAGACGATACCATGTGCTTATTTAAGCACTTGTCTCCTTTAGTTAAGCAATGATATCTATACCGGTGGCACCATTTCCCCCCACTCACCACAGACTGCATCTGTCATAATTCTCTTAGATTGAGTTATTCAGAAACAACTGGTTTCACCTTATATACTTCAAAAATTATTCCCAGTAAGAGATTTATGTTACAGGCAACCTGTCAGTCATAAGCAAGACCAGAAATGTATGATATTTCTGTTTGGGAATGTTCACCAATTGGCTATTTAAAATGTATCTGTGCACACGTTTGTGTGTGTGTGTGTGTGTGCTTGTGTGTTGTGTGCAAATGTATTTATTTTTAGACTCACTTGAGCTAATATAAAGCATGCTAATCGAGTTATGTTTGTTGAAACTGAAGTCATACCATTTGAATTCTTACAGGGACTAAAGGCAATACGTGGATAGAATCTGGAAGCTGTATCATCTTGACTTGATGTGGTTCAAGTTACTCAAGAACCAACAAGATGGGCCATACATTATAAATATAAAGTCAAGTGTTTACCCTCTTAATCTGCTAGTCCCATCACTGGTCTTGAAATTTTCTAGACCTGGTAGTATTGTCACGGTTCTTGTCATCAGGCCTTTACATTCTTATGTGACATTCTTATAAGAAAAGAAGGACGAAAGATAGGAAAAGGAAGAAAATAAACAAAGAAGGAAGAGACCAGTTAGTAAATCACTAATATGCATGCATCACTCTGGAAAGATGTCTTATTATTGGATTAAAGAATGGTGTTAATGGACAGTATGTGATAATATGGTAAGCATTATTTTTAAAACTAAATATGCCATCATTAGAATTAGTCAACAAGCCCAGCAGAAACCAAATACTACTCAGACTTGGGGAGTGTGCTGATAGAGTGAGATCTCAGTTTACTACCCTAACAGTGGGGAGGAACCCCACAGATAATCCAAAACAGCTGATAACTCAAATACAAAAATCTCTACTTAGTTTTGGAATGTATGGTGTGATTCTTTGGGCATAATTCTCAATTTAATTCAATAAATATTTATTAAGCATATACTCAGTGTTAAACGTGGTGTTAAATTATTATAATTCTAGATTCCATCATTGTTTGTTGATTCAACCACTACTAAGTGGTGAGTCTGTGCTGGGCATTGTGCAAGATGATGTTGATTCAACAACTACTAAGTGGTGAGTCTGTGCTGGGCATTGTGCAAGATGATGGCTAGACAGTGCTGACAAGGGAAGACCATTGTGGTGGGTGTGTGCTTGAAGATCACAGTCTACATAACTAACACATGCTTGTTAATCTGCAACTGAGACCCTAACTAGGAAACGTGTAAAATCCAGTCGGTAATTTCACCCGCATGGTTGTTGATGTCAGACTTTGTTCATGGGACACACAACTATTCACTGAAGGAAGGACTTACTGGGAGTTATTTGAGAAATGGGTACAGTTTCTGTGACTAACCTGAAAGTCCTGTAAAAGAGTAAAATTAATGTCTCTTATAACTCATTCAAGTTTTTTTGTGTGTGTGTCTATGTATTTTTACTGTTTTAAACAGTTCAGGCACTGGGATTATAGCAATGCACACAGCAGGCAAAAATCTCTGCCCTCTGGGAGTTCACATTTTAGTAAGCACAGTAGTATCTAGTATATAATGTCTATAAATTTTGTTTCATAAAATGCTTTAAACCTGAAATATAGGCTCCTCACCATGGAGCTGTTTTTACACAAATACAGAGCAAAGTAAATTCAGGAAGAGCACAGAGAAGAACATGCTGACCCAAGCAACCTATTCTAGTGGACAATTGGCTGTGCTCCTTGCATCATAAAGGCAGCAAAAGCTAAACCTAGAACACAGGAGGTAAAATACTGCTGCTTAAAATCCAAGAGGAGATGTATTTTTCCTACCGCCAGTTGTAATTGCCTTAGTAGCAAGATCAAATTAGTTGATTTCTACAACTATTTACAAGTATATTAATGGTCACAAACACAATTAATGCCACGCTGAATCCAAAAAATTATTCTAGATCCATATGATACTTTTACCAAGACAAGAACAATCAAAAAGTTAAAGTCTTGAATTTCTCAGTAACACTGACTTCAGGAGCATGTGGAAATTATTCCTCCCCTACCTGGGTTTAGGCAATTCACTTGAATCTCTGAGTCTCAATTTTGTCAGCTGAAAATTGGGGTTTTTAAGAGTTAAAAGAGTCTTACTGACAGAACGAATGTGCGGAGCCCAGGACAGTGGGAATCTGACACATGGTGGGCTTGTTCGCTGCTGCCAAGAATGACACACACACAAAAATAATTTCTGGGCTTAGTAATATTGATGTGATGAATTATCCCTAACTGATAACTGGTTGAATGCCCAGGAGAGTGTTTTCTAAGAAATCTCTGAGAAGTCCCAACATGAGCTCATAGAAATAAACATGTGGCATGTCATTCCCTGAAGGACCTCCCAAGGTGATATGACATTTATATGTGGATTACAGCAAAGCTCAAGAAATACGGGAATCTTAAAGAAAAAAGCTGGACTTCTGAAAGCCCAGGGCAAGAAACCATAAACCACACCATATCTGAGCCCCCCAGATGCTCACTGGAGGTGACGTTACTGTGAAATGATCAGCTTTACACATGCCACAGAAGGCCATATGGCTCATTTTATCCAGTAATCTCTGCAGGGCCAGCACCTAGGGATTAAGGGCTCTTCTAGGGTCAAAAATATATTTAGAAGCTGAAAAATAAGGTTTTTTCTTGAAATACAAAAAGAAATTCGCAATAATAAAATAATGGATGCTAGTTAAATACCTGCAAAAGAAGACACGCCACCTAGTCGACTGCATTTGAGATGAGCAAATTTTAATACATTTGATATACTCAGGGGTGGATGCTTCAAAAATAAAATAGCTTGTGTGGGACAAAGAAAAAGAAAATCTAAAAATGACCCTGAAAGCAGCTCCACTGTCTCAAGAAACAAAAGTAAGCTTTGAAATATTAAAGGCCCTTTCACCTTTAAATCATGCTTAATATTCATAAGAAATTAATGGTGGGCTCGGCGCCTGTGGCTCAAGCGGCTAAGGCACCAGCCACATACAACTAAAGGTGGCGGGTTCGAATCCCCAGCCCGGGCCTGCCAAACAACAATGACGGCTGCAACCAAAAAATGGCCAGGCGTTGTGGCGGGCGCCTGTGGTCCCAGCTACTTGGGAGGCTGAGGCAGGAGACTCGCTTGAGCCCAGGAGTTGGAGGTTGCTGTGAGCTGTGATGCCATGGCACTCTACCCAGGGGGATAGCTTGAGGCTCCGTCTCAAAAAAAAAAAAAAAAAAAAGAAATTAATGGTGGAGATTTTGTCTGTTGAAGAGATTTAGGCCTTTTTGTCTCTGTTTCACCCCATCTCTTTCAAATTCCTAAATCTCTGTTTTCCCCTTGTCCTCACCTAATCATAAAGATCAAATCCTTTTTGAGCAAGCCTTTCCTGTGTGAGTGAAGTGTGGCTGACTCCTGTGGGGTTCCTCCCTAGCTCTTTGGCTTCTGGTCTGGCTCTGACAATGGAGAGTGCTGGCAGAAGAGGGTTTAGGGTACGTCATCCCTCCACTTCCCCCTTCCTGGCTATAGACTGAACATACTTTCCTTTACCTGTGGCTGTGTCCTTGTCAGGGACCCCTCTGCTACAGGTACTCTCTTGGCTTCTGGGAACTGCTCCTTTCTCCAGGTTTCAGCTATGGCTTTGCACTTTTGCTATCCCAGGATTCTTCAGCATTC